GAGAGAGAGAGAGAGAGAGAGAGAGAGAGAGAGAGAGAGAGAGAGAGAGAGAGAGAGAGAGAGAGACTCTAGTTGAACAGCGAATCAATTCGCAGTTATCGAGGTTGATGTCAGGTCGTGATCTCTTTGGTGACTGACCACCTTCAAGAAGTGTCAACCTTCACAAAGTGCCAAACAGTCGGCGGTCAGAGGACTCCAGTGCTAAAAGCATTCTTAGGGGACATTTGGGTCGTGTTCATAACATATTGGCGTAGCACTAGATGCTCACCAAGCAGTTCTGGATTTCGGTTGTATCGACACATCATAAGATGCCTTACAAGCAAGCAGCGGCTGCTTGCAGGACCTTCTACCCGGTATGGATCTTTGAGAGCAGAGTTTCGCACTCCACCGTGAGATCCACGTCGGATAGGTGGACCTGCCATCCTACCGCTGTTTGTTGTAGTCATCTTGAGGGAGTCGATGAGGTGAGGACCCGGCAAAGAAAACTCTCAGTGGAATTCGCTGCCGTGTTTTTGAAACTTATTGACGTAGCACTAGATGCTCACCAAGTAGTTCTGGATGTCGGTTATATCGACAAATCATAAGATGCCTTACAAGCAAGCAACGACTGCTTGCCTTGCAGGACCTTCTACCTGGTGCGGATCATTAGAGCAGAGTTTCACACTCCACCATGAGATCCACACCGGATAGGTGGACCTGCCATCCTACCGCTGTTAGCTGTAGTCATCTTGAGGGAGTCGACGAGGTGAGGACCCGGCAAAGAACACTGTTAGGGGACTTTGCTGCCGTGTTTGGAACATATTGGCGTAGCACTAGATGCTCACTAAGCAGTTCTGGATGTCGGTCATATCGACTCATCATAAGATGCCTTACAAGCAAGCAGCGGCTGCTTGAAGGACCTTCTACCCTGTGTGGATCTTTGAGAGCGGAGTTTTGCACTCCGCCGTGAGATCCACATCGGATAGGCGGACCTGCCATCCTACCGTTGTTGGCTGTAGTCATCTTGAGAGTCGATGAGGTGAAGACCCGACAAAGAACACTCTTAGGGGGCTTTGCTGCCGTGTTTGAAACTTATTGGCGTAGCACTAGATGCTCACCAAGCAGTTCTGGATGTCGGTTATATCGACACATCATATGACGCCTTACAAGCAAACTGTGGTCGGATCCCGTCCCCCATCCCCGGCGCGGATCTATGAGAGCAGATTTGACGCAATCCACCGTTAGATACACATCGGAGAGGCGGAGCGGTCATCCTACCACTGTTCAGTGTAGTCATCATGTGGGAGTCGACATTGCAAGAACCCGACAATGTTCCAATTGGGACGTGCTCTTGTTTCGTGATGTGTAGGTGCTTACCGGCGGTGCGTTCGATCCCCTCCTCGACGTGAAGCAAAGTGCGAGGGAATTGCTCAGGGCTCACGCCAGAAGTGCGATTGAACTCGCACTTTGATGGAGAAACAGTTGCGCAGTCCATCTGCGAGACGATTTAATATGGACATTGGCTTGTCATTTGTGTATTACAGGTTGAAAACGCCATCAAATCTTTCTGTGTAGAAGATTCATATCCATTCATAAAAGTATCTCTTGTCATCGCAAACATCGAGATAAAAACATCCCAAGTGAAATTGCAAAGCACACATAGACATCGCAAACATCGAGGTTAAAACATCTCAAGTTGCCTAGTGTTTTTCCAAAGGTGAAGTCTCACGGCACACGAACAATTTCCAGAAACCATTCAATGCAGAAAATTCATTCAAGGGCAAATTGCAAAACACACAGAGACGTTTCAAAAATTCATTGAATGCAAAATATCATACCATCCCACATTGCAAAGTGCACGGAGGCTTTCCAAAAATCACAAAGTACATGGAGCCAAAGTGCGAATATGTTCTCATTTCTCATATGGAACCAACAGTTCAATCACAAATGTACGGCATCCAAAGTGCGAATATGTTCGCAATCTGTTACGAAAACAACAGCCAGCATTCCGTGAAGAGCACGAAATGTTTACCGGGGATAACACAATTGGTAATCATTTAGTGCACCGCTGAATCCGTAAAACAACTTCAAGCACACATACATTCTGGCGACAATTGGTTTCCGAAAGGAGAACAAGTTTGCAACTGTCATAAAGAACCAATAGACAACATTCAATTGTGACAAGCAGAGGGGGTGAACCGTAAAACAGGGCGGGACATGCAGAAGAAGGGCTAGCCAAAACATATGAAAGGTGGGTGGTTGGGGTGGGGCGGGGGAGAGGGGCTTTCACACCACAAAGTCTCGCGAACGAAAGAAATAAGCACGAAACAATTTGGCGACCAAGAATAGATCGTCGATATCTTTCACATGAGCAACAGAGGAGCACAACCTCGAAACGAACAAACGCAGCACGGAAGTCTGAGAGGACATAAGAAGAACAACCGGAAAATAAATAAAAGGAGCACAAAGTTGGGATATTCCAATTCGATATGTAAGCGTCTACTTAAAAGGAACTGCACCACGTGGCTGGGATATTTACATCGGCATCTAAGCTTCTTCTTCACGTAAGCGTCCGCTGCTACCCTCTAGCTGATGTTGCGCGACAAGCAATGAGAACAACCCGAAAACAAACAAAGGCAGCACGACACTGCCGAAAGTCCTACGAGTAAAGATGACAGGTTCCATGAAACGAAGAACCCTTAAAAAATTGTTGTAGCACGAGGCTGGGATATTCACATCGACACCTAAGCCTGTACTTGACCAAAACGTCCACTGCAATCCGGTGCCTCATCAAAACAACAGCACATCTCGAACCGACTGACTGCTAGATCAAGTGGGAATAGATTCGCACTTCTGCTTATGGCCGTTGGAAAAACAAACTACGCGTATTTTAACAACAAGGGTATTATTCAGATCCTTGGAGTATGTTCACCGCAATCCTCAGCCTGATGTTTGCAATGTCGCTTTAGGCTATCGAAAATAGTGGCGGATAGCCGCGTGCAAGAAGAGAAGCGAAGGCGAGCATAAAAACACTGCAGCTCGACCCGTCCGACTTTTGTGGGACACCATGAGCTACCACCTTGGTCGCCGGGAGATCCAGTTTGGCTTGTTGACCATATCGACAAACCGCTTCGTCACGGAGGTATTGCGTGAAGTTCGCAAACACATCGGAAGAAAAACCGCCATCGTTTTGCAGTAGGGAGTCGTAGTACTCCAGCCCTTGTTCTCGGAAAAATAATAGGGTCCAATGCACTCGATTTTTATGGACAGGAATCAAGACCATTCTGTACGAGAAAATATCCACATCTTTTGTCTATTTCGCAACCCTTTCATGTCGATAGCCACCACCGACGAGCTTGGTATAGAAAAAGGGACAGAAAATGTAAAAAGAGGGACCCCGAGGGAACGCAGCGTTGGTAAGCAAGGCCGAGTACGACTCCACCAGCTCGTCGGAAAGCCATCCCCCCTGGACAAGAGTTTGAAGACTTTTTCTGGTCAACGAAATCGAACTGTGATCTCTGCGAACCGAGGAAACCACCTCATGACCATTGCTGAAATCTCCGCAGACGTCCTGCAATATTCTGAAGTCCACAGCGCTAAGCTCCTCAGTAGGCAAGGGAACGCGAAAACATGATGTAGCCCCAGCTGCACAAACACCCACGAACAAGTGTGAGGAGTGAGCACAAACCCCGGGGCGGAATGGCTAAAAACTGTCTCCCCTTTTCCCTGAAAAGTTGTATCCCTGACTGTTGAATGTGTCCTTCGTGATGTACTTAGGACACGGGTCTTTCAAGACACCCCGTTTGCCATCGTCATCAGACCCATCAGACAAAGGAGTAACTCTCTCAATAGACACAGCCAAATGTTTCCGCAGACCTTCCTCCTTATCTATTCCACAAGCCTTCAGAACCCTGGCATCTGGACCCTTTTAAACAACCCTACACTTGACGACTTCTTCGGTAAAGCGGCCAATAACCTCCCGGAAAGACGTTCCTCGCGCACGGCTTTTAAAGGCTTCATGGGCAGGGACATTAACAACCTCACACCTGTAGAACATAGAAAACAAGCCACATCCCACAAGCTTTTTTTTAACAAGTGGTAATAGGTACATTAGCCCATGACATCAATTTGGACAACCACAGAGCTGGCTGGTGACAGATATGTGAGTGTTCCTATTCACAAATCTTACCATGCTCACGAGCCCTTTGAGGGAACTCGCCCTCCTGTCGCGCCACTGCGCCAACATCCACGGACGATTCGAGGTTCTGGACATCGACTACAGCTTTGTCGCTAACCAGCTCGGTGGCAGCTGAGTCGCTTGGCAAGTCGATGGCTTCATGAAGCACCATTTCCTGACCGGTACTGAGGACAAATGCTCGATCACCCTGTTCGGCACCGCAACGGGTGGACGAAGAATCATGGTCATTCAGCTCTGGATCCATCTTGATGCTGACGGCCACCTCACCCCCTTCCACGGAGGATTCGACGTTCTGCATCTCGGCCACGCCTGAGTCGCTAACAAGCTCGATGGCTGCCGAGTCGTCACCCAACTTTATGGCTTCATGAAGCACCATTCCCCGTGCGGTGCTCAGGACAGACGATCGACCACCCTGTTCTTCACTGCAATGGGTGGGCGAACAATCACCATCTTTCCGCTGTGGATCCATCTGGATGTCGACAGTCACCTCATCGCCTTCCACCACGGGTTCTCCGCCTTTCTCATCGCCATGAACCCGAGCTTCCACCGCGGGTTCTTCTTCGTCTTCATCATCGCCAAGAACGGGAGCTTGCCCGGACGTCCACTGACCTCCCTTAACGACACCCTCTTGCGTCGTGGCCACAGCCGAATGACTGTGCAGAACCTCTTCGGACGTCCCGATCACCAGCGCTCGTGCGTGGAGCCACTTCACGTCGTCACGAGCCGGCCCATGTCGAGTTTCCTCTCCCCGCTGTAGAGCATGTGTTTCCCCCAGAGGTCCTGCACTCTCGCTGTCATTGTCCACGGAGGCACCCTCTGAAGCATGACGTTCACACTCGCTACCCCCGGTCTCCAACACTTTGCGAGACTGCCAACGTTGAGTCTCCTCTTCCCGATGTACCACACGCATTCCCGGAGAGCGCTCCTCTTCCCCAGGAGTGTGACGTTCGTGCTCGCTACCCCCGGTCTCCAACACTCCTGCAGTGGACCCCTCCAGCACGTCGCGAGACCGCCAGTGTCGAGTCTCAACACATGAGAACGGAGGCGAGCAGGGCAACCCTGTGTCCAACTAAAGATGCGAGGGGCAGGACGTGACATTTTCTTGGCCCCGCGGAACTGTTGCGTGAGGAGCACTTATGACGGAGGGCGACGTCAGCAATTCCGAATGTATTCGAAGTTTTTGGTGCTCGCCCGAGCCGAGGGAACCGAAGGTCGCACCCTCGCTCCTTCGCAATGCAGGCATCCCGCCCTCCAAGCAAAACGAAGACGCGCCCTCTTTTAGGAGCAAGGTGTTGAGCTCAGGAGACCTCCGCTGCGCACGGCGGGATGAACTCTCATCGGCAACGGGAAACAAAGTCCTCGCAAACAAGTGCGAATGTACTCACACTTGATCAGACGTCAGGGTGGCCTCGTCTCCCATGTCGGAATCTCGACTCCCTACGCAGCGAGGGTCAGTTTCCATATACCGGGGACTCGCGGACGTTCTACGCTTTCCACCCGACCCCTTCCCGGCCGACCCCTTTCCTCCCGAGTCCTTTCCGCCTGACCCCTTTCCGCCGGACGTCTTCTCTACCGACGATGTCTCGCCCGTCCCCCTTCTGGCAAACTGTGAGTTGTCTCCTCCGCCACCTCCACCGTCTCCTTTGTCTCCTCCTCCACCCCCTCCCGGATGCTGACCGCCCGACGGAAGTTACAGCAGGCGCCAGTCAATGCCACGAGACGGTGTCGTTTCGAGTGTGTAGAAAGGCGCTCGAAACTCCAACATGTTGTTGGCGTACAACTCATTTAGCTTTTGTTCTGCATACGCAGCGACGTCCGGGTCGTTCCTCTCGGGGTTCATGAGACTCAAATGCTCCACCAGAGCAGTTGCCGCCATTCTCTTAAATGCACCCGCTCCCTGTCTCTTCAGTGCACTCCACTTGCCATCGGCCTCCTTCATTGCCATGACCCACATTCCATTCCTCACAGCAGGTTGGAATATCCTCGGGTGTCAGACGACATTGTGTCCCCAGACATCCTCCGCCGTGAACCGGTGATGCTTGCCGAAGAAGAAGAGTCTGTCATTCTGCCAGGTGTCGTGGTCCATAGGGAGCCTGTCACAAGGTTCGTGATCATAGTCTCTGTCTTCCTCCCCGTCATCAGACGATTGGTCGTCGACTAGCTCGCTCGGAAACACACGCTTCAAACCGGCAAGGGACGTACTATATCTCCGAGGGCCACCTTCCTCTTCATCACCAACCTGTCCAACCACCCGAGGAAGTGGCATGGACTCGAAATCGAAGGTTTCGGAGTCGCTCAGCTCCTCCGTGTCTTAAGCGTCGAAAGGATCCTCCTCGTCAAACTGTGACTTGTAGTTTTCGAGGGTGAGCGGTTCGGCCAGCGTGAAGTAAACGTGCTCCTGCCTTCTCAGGAAATGCGGGGCAGAGTCCCGGGGTGCATCGTGGTACACATTCAGCACACCGAACACCAGGTTTCTCCGTCGACTGTATTCGAGGTCGGTCGGACCAGGCGGTCCGGGTTGGAAAAGGAAGTCCCAAACCTTCGTCCTTTTGTTCCCCGACAATTTTCAATACATGTCACATTTGGAGCCCAGTTTCGTTCGCCGGTGGACCGTGCAAACTTGCAAGCATTGCGAGTGTCTGCAACATGTGTCTTCACGAACTTGTGAAGGTAATCGATCATCTTCGCCTCCTTTTTCAACGCGACGAAATTCCGACCGGTGCGCAAGAGTTCCCACACGACAGACGCATGCGCCTTCCCAAGGAAAAAAACAGTTTGCTTAGCTTTGCAAAAGTTTTCGAGTAGACCAAGTAGACGGGACGGGTTCTGCTCCATCTCCACGTAAGCAGGTCCTTGAGAACTTGTCACGCCGCTGTCCTCCCACATGCTACGAGTGAACCTTTCCTCTTCTGCGACGTCGAAACACGCCACAACCTGTCCTGACGGGTCCGACGAACAGACAACTTTCGAGCGGGCAGCCACCGTGTGTTTGGCCGGACTTGGACCATGACCACGGGAGGCCTTTGTCGGGCTACTGGCCGGGTAGACTGCGAATGTGTTGTCTTCCAGCTTCTCGCCATTAAAAATCACGTACAGGCGGTCACACTCCTCAACCAGCATATTGCCTTCCCGGACAATGGCCTGCTTTCGTGCATGGCGCACCCACTTCCCTGTCCTGACGTGATGGACGCTAAGCCCGACCATGCCTTTCAAGAAACCGAGCCCCCATCGAGAGGGAAAAAAAAACACAAGTGCCCAGTGCGTTGGCGAAAGTGTTTGGAGAACGCCTTGCAAGTTGGCGAAATTGTCTTCGCGCCAGTCTGTGAGGAGTGTGGGATCACACAAATCGAGGACGTACAAGTTGCACATGTAATGTCGCACAACCTCACGGATCGCAGTGACATGAATGTGAGCTTGGGAAGGCGGGAAAGCGAAAGGAATAAGGCTGGTCACCCGGTTGGAGTCGGGCTATTCGATGTGCCTCACATCCCTGCTGACCCTGATCATGTCTCGAACTTCTTCTTCCGTCCGACGCAAGATGGAACGGACAAACTTTTCGAAAGATTTAGGGAACCTGTCATCATCGTACAATCTTTTCGCGTCGTCGATGGACTCCTTCTCGTGCGGAAGAGTACGTTTGCAAGTGTTCACGTACTCCACCTCGCCCTGAAAATGCTTTCGCATTTTGACCCACACCTGTTTCGTGAGACCCTGCGGCCCGAACTCCTCTAGAAGCTTCCCATCGGTCCAAAAAAAAGGGCTTTCGTGGCGCCAAACACGTTTGTCCTCCTCCATTTCAAGGAACAAGATGTAGTGGAACATACGGAGCATGACATGGTCCACTTTCCTCGTCGCGACCATGTCTTTAATTCCAGGTTTATGCTGACACTTCAGATGGCCGCCCGCGGATTGCACGAACACCCCCTTAGCGCGAGAATGTCGTCAAGGATCGAAAGTTTCTCGACATCGGTCATGTCGGCGAGACACTGCCAACAGAACATGTCTGGCTCCTTCACGACCACGAAAAACTTGTCGTCCGCTTGCGTTTTCTTTTTGGTCGGAGGCGGCGGGACTCGGACCAGCCACCCCATCTTCGTTTCACCAGCCGCCCCTTTCGAGCCCATTTCCGGAATTGTTTGCAGACCCAGAGATTTGTCTGGCATGTATTTGCTCGGCCTCGACAATGGCGTCTTGCTGTCGCCGCTCAACAACTTCCCCTCCGCCCATTTCGCGTAGAACTCCATGACTTTGCGAAAAACGTCATCACCGGTCGTCACGAGCAGCATCCACTGCCTCAATGCATTCCCAACGACAACGACATACTCCTTGTCGGCGAGCGACAAATCATTTTCTGCCAACGCCCAGTGAGATTCGTTCGGACTCTTTCCCAAAATCAGCTTTTGGATTTCGAAAAACTTTCATTTTTCGGCCTCCTTGCCGAAAGAGTTCCCTTGAATGGCCATCGGCCTTCCTTCTTTCTCCCATGCCTCCCACATGTCCAAGAACGCAGCCTTCTGCGATCGCTGCTTAGACATTTTCTGTCTCGTATTCTCATTCAGACTTACCTGCCTGTCGGAGAACCACACTACTTTCGCCGGCCACGAGTGCATCTTCCACAAATCGAATATTGGCTCACCCTTCAACTCCTTCACAGCAGCCACGGTGTGTTGACCGTTAACAGGGTAATAGTAGTACTTGTTCTTGTCCTCTGGCTTGAAGACATCTTTGTGAACCCTGTCAGCTTTCTCCGGCCTGTGCGTCACCGGCTTGTAGATGGGTGCCCGAACCAAAGGGTTTTTCGTCCAGATCTTCCCCTTTTTGTCGCGGAATTGACTCAGCATAGCAGCCTTGATGTCGTCCACAGTTTCGCGAGTTAGACTGCGGTGGTTGTAATATCTTTCCCAAAACGGGATGTCGCAGACATTCTTGGGGTCGATGAGCAGTTTGACGGGGAACTCCTTCTCAACGATTTCACCGCCATCGTTCCGCTCGTATTCGAGCCAGAACGCTGCCGCCTCGTCGCACTCCCCACCGTCAGGCCGTTCGCCCCCGCTCGCCGCCTCAGCAGTCTTCCGCCTTCGAGGTTTCTTCTGGCAATTGCCTTCTTCAGCTGCCACTTTCCGTTTCGATTTCCCCGAAGGTTCTCTCGCGGCCACATCGCTTGGAGCAGCCGAATCTCCTCCACCCACGGTTTGTCCTTCGCGGATGGTCAAACCGTCGGGCCTCCTCGCTTTCTTACTTGTCGTCCCACCCTCTTCCTTCGGTGGCCTCTTTCCCGAGGCAAGTTCTCCGACGTCACCTCCATCCTCGCCCATCACCGCCTCCGATTTTCCTCTCATCCTCTTCATGCGGAGGGTTCCTTCCGCCACCTCCTCTCTCACCATCCTCTGTGGCTCGCGCGTCTTCTCCGAAGTAGTCTGCTCCCCACCAGAGCTTTCGCGGACAACGCCCATCCCTTCAGCCTCATTCCCTCCGACATCTTGCCCCGATGTGCCGGATTCCCTTCTCGTCTCATCTTGAAGCGAATACATGTCGTTGCCGCAGCAGACCGTGATGAGTTTCGGAGTACCGACCCGTTGAGTCCCCGTGCCTTGAGAATGCAAGTCCAACGTGTTCCCAGGAGCATCCGGGCTGACCTGTGTGTGAACGCTGCGCGCGCGCCCCTTGACCCGACCCCCAGCGTCTTGAATTGGACTCCCGCGCCCCACGGCCGCACCTAGAGTTTCTTGAGCCAAGCCGGACTACCCCTCATGGGGTGGCAGAAGCCGAAAAATATGTTCTCGCGGAAGAACCGGACGTTCTTTCGACACCATCAGCGCAAGATCGAGATATTGCTCTGGCGATGGAAGACGCTTGCTGCCGCCATTGTAAAGGCCTTTGAAGTGAGAGCACAACGTCATGTTCGAGCCGTACCCCGCGAAACTCTTGATGGTCACCAGCACACCCTTAACACCTCTRAGAGRCAGTCTGCACTCGTCGTACRARCCGTTAGTGTGCAGCTTSASCAAACCTCCAGGAGTCTTGGCGCAYGAGACGATGGTACCGAGAGGAAGAACGTTGACCGCTCCCTCAACGTTTGGAACGCAAGTGGGTCGCATGAAAACAGCTGGCCCAAAAAGGTCCCCCTGAACAACGAAGTCCAAAAACCATTGTGCTCCCATTGCGTGCATATACTGAGGAGTAGATTGCTGAAGAGGTCGTCCCTCCCCTGGGGCAGATGGTCCAGCGCTTGTGGATGTGTTCTTTGCGGACGCCATTGTACTCCCACCCGTTGACTAACACGCCCAACCTTAGACCAACTCGGATGACTAATACGCCCAACCCCAGACCACTACAGAAGCAAAGTGCGAACTAACTCGGACTTAACGAAACGGAGGACGAAAATGACGTAAGAGATGGGTGTTCGAAATGCACACAAAGTCACAACAATCGGGTGAAGGATAGGAAAGACAACAGTCCTCTGGCAGAGTGCGAATGAGATCGCTGTCGTAGAATGGAGGAAGAGGTGCTTTATCTTAAGGAAAGTACGAACTAACTCTGAGTTTCGGGAATGAAGTCGTCTACAAGAAGCACCGCATGGGTATCGACAAGGCGGAACTTACGTGCAGTTCCGGGCTCAAGGAAACCGAAGAATGAGATTGGTGTTTGAAACGCAAACGAATACAAAACAATTGGGTGGCTGGCAGAGTGAGTTCGGAGGGAAGACGACAACTCTTCGAAAAGATTATGACCCGACTAGATGCCCTCAAAACGAGTTATATGTGGTTTATCGACAAGTGCGAAGGGTGTCGACAAGTGCGAACTAACTCGCAGTTCTGTAGACAAGTCAATAATGGCAACCCTCAACACTAGGG